ATGAAAAATCGGTTATATGGAAATTATATATCAAATAATAATTCGAACAAATGAAAATTCATCTGAAAGAAAATTCTATGTAATGAACTTCTACCCAATAAAAATTCTTTAAAATGCCTATTATGTTAAATAAAAATTCGGCTCAAAAATTATTATTACAAATGAAATTCCATAAAATGAAAATTCTAACTAATGATTTTTAGAATATAATCATGCGTCCCCATATTTTACATTTCGCCGAAAATGACTTTTCAAATTAAAAAAATTTCAATACTTCACATTATCTATCTTTTTTCATTTGCATGAAAATATAAAATGGGGGGATATTATTTAGTGAGGAATATGTATGTTGGTACCAATATTTTTATCTCAAATGATATAAAAGATTGCCCAGCCACTCCCAAAACAGAAACTACACATATAAAGATACGACTTCGATTTGTGATTATCATTTGTATTATATTGTGATCGACTGATTGTAGCGCGCAGAGTATAGCAATTTAAGATCTATTGCTATAGAGTCTATATAGAATATATATCACGTATATGGGATTTTATAAGAGTATGTTATTTAGTCCCCATCAATGACGAGAAGGTGATCTCGATATATACACTCTCTGTTTATATCGGATACTTGCTTCAAGTCACTTGAGATAAAATAGAGAGAGACAGAGAGAGAGAGGGGGGGTACAAGATGTACTTAATCGAAAAAAGGTGAAAAAACGACCGTGCCAAGAGACCCTGAGGCAAACTTGCTTCCTGCGTTTCCGGTTTCGAGACCAGTTGCCTATGTTGATGAAGATTACTATATACACATTTGCTGCAGTACAGGGTGACCTCAAAATCCCAAAGAACCAGAGCAACTTTTCTGAACGAGACCTCTTTACTTTATACTATGCTATATATTTCTTTATACATATACTTCAGATATCAACTGGTATTTTTAAACTTTTTGAGATTAATTTGGCATCATTTCATTAAAAAAAAGACCGACTAAAATTAATCTCCTTCCACAATTTTTATTATTTTTCATTGGAATTAAATGATTTTCTTCAAAAACAATTCTGAACAATTATGGATTTTTAAAAATTTCAATTTTTTTTCTAAACAATAATTTTAAAATCATTAACAGTTATTAACATGACAACGTTTTAAATCCTAAAAAACTCAAAAAAAATTGCCATTCCAAAGTAATAAAAATGAAGTTGAGTTAATTTGCATTTACCTAATTTTGTTAATTTCATTCCTACAATTTAACGATATCACAGCCACAAAAAAAAATTTTGATTCTGACCTGAAGGTCTCACTATGTGTACCTTATGTTTTTGGAGTCGCTAAATCCGAATCCGAGGTCCATCTAACCCCATCAGATCAGGGTTTTTACATAATAACTTCAAAAAAACAAAATATGGCGGACATCTTTTGGAAAAATTCATCGGTTTCGCTTGAAACTCGTTACTCGGGTTTCAGGGTCACTGAATCCGAATTTTATGTCAGTTTTCAAAAATTCAATACGACGAATAAATATGTCGGACAAATTTTAAAAAGAAATACCTTTCTTTTTGAAACTTGCGGTATCTAAGAGTTTTTTGGTCATTGATTATGAATACTATATCATACTCTAAAAATCTCACAACTCCAATAACATTTAACTTAATATATAGACGTATCAGTTAATCCAAACTTTAACAGTTTGGATTAAATCCACTTCTGATAGAGGTCTACTTCACTCTATCGAATTCTGCTCAATGAAGGCTTCACTGTTAGAAAAAAATCTGATTTGATAGGGTTAAATAGACATCAAATTCGGATTCAGCGACCCTGAAACCTGAGTAACAAATTTCAAGCGAATCTGATGAGATTTTCAAAAAAGCGTCCGCCATATTGGATTCGCCATTTTGAATTTTTCAAAACTGACATCAAATTCGTAATCAGCGACATCGAAAAACCTCTGAGTAACGAGTTTCAAGCAAATCCGATGAATTTTTTCAAAAGGTGTCCGCCATATTGGTTTTTTGGAGTAATTATGTCAAAACCCTGATCTGATGGGGTTAAATGGACCTCGGATTCGGATTGAGCGACCCCAAAAACATAAGGTACACATAGTGAAACCCAAATTAGTTGTAAATGTAAACTGTGGTTCTACAAATGTCATCTTAAAAAACTGCTTTTAAGAAATGTAATGATGAGCCAAAAGTTTTGAATGTTCAAATGAACAAAATATTTTTTGCAATCTATAAACTATTAGAAATTATAATGTCAATGTAAAATAAAACAGTAAATTAAACAAATATTAAATTAATAACTTCTTTTTAGATATTTAAAACAATATTTTATAATAAAATTCGTACTTAAAGAAGTTACAAAAAAAAAATTTGTTCATTTGAACGTTCAAAACATTTGGCTCATATATGTAATGATAGTTTAAAATTTCTAAAACTAAGGTGTGATTACACAGTAGCACCTGCGAAGATGTTCGAAGCTGAATGATATATACCGCGTATTTGAAGAAAAAAAAAATGTTTATCCTGCGCTAAATCAGTTGAGTCACAACTCTCGTGCGCGGTGTTTTATAAAGGTATTCGTTGAAGCTACATTCACAAATATAGGATGCGACTTTCGAATAAAAACGAAAAAATTTCTCATATGAATGAAATTTTTTTCATGACTGTAAAGAAAGCGCGTTAAAATACCTAAATCTTTTACTGATCTTATGAAACTTTCCCATATTTATCTAAAAGAATGTTATGAAATAGTTATTTTCTCTCTTAATTCTCATTTCCCTAAAAAAAAAACCTTTCATTTTGTAAATAAAATTAAAATACAAAAGAAACACGGGAGTAAAATTTTTTTAAACTCCTTGAATAAATTTTAATAAAAAAAAAAGTATAGAAAAAACTTAATTGACAATGAAAATGCAATAATAAATAATATTGCTCATAAAGTGCGTGAGAGTTATATGTACAAAAAACATTTTTACTGAATACGTCTATAAAGTTAAACGAATTAAAATTAAATTTGTTAAAACTATAAAAATTAAGTTATTAATAAAAAAAATGATAATAGGTATGCTATTATATCATTGAAATGGTGATATTAAGTTTTTGTTTGAAATTACATAAATTTATAAAATGTATTAAGTTATTACAACTAAATACGTTAAATTAGAAAGTAAATTAACCAGAGAAAAAAAGTACACCCATGAGAAAAATTGAGAGAAAAAATTATCTCAGAGCTAAAGAAATATTGATTCGTTTCAAATATAAAAATATTATTTGCGCTTTATAAAATTTTTATTTAAAATAAATAAATAGTTAAATATTTAGTTTATAAAGACAAATAACTTTTGGACTCTTTAATAAAAATAATTTAATTATTAAAATATAATTGCGATGGTGATGATATAATATATACTCTGTAAAACTTTAAAAAAGTGTACAATGCGAAAAATAAATCTTATATCTTATCTAGTTTAGAAAAGAAATATATTTTTATTTAATGCAAAATTGTAATATTTGTTTAGAATAAAAAATTTCTCTCGATGTAAATTTTATGAAAACAAAATAGTCTAGAAATCTAGATGAAATAATAAAAAAAAAAATTTCCCAAATAATTAAAAAGAAATTAACCCAATTATATAAGAAAGACAAAGGACAAAAAATTTACCGAATTAAACGTCGTAAAGTTAAATTTTAATGAATAAAGTATTGAATGTTTTTTTTTTTAATGAAAATATTAAACAAGATCTTTTTAACGTTCAAGAAATCTTAGAACTGAGCGGTGGTCGACCTGGAAGTATTGCGATATCGAATGTCGTCCATAAACGAATCATCTTCTCGAATACACACATATATATATACAACCATATCCTGTGAGAAAAATTGTTCCTTACACAATTTTATGATATTACGCACCACAAACAAATTAAAAAATAAAGTTCTCAAGGATTTCATTATTAAAATCACGTCCCACAAATTATTAATAATAAATTAATAATAATTAATTTAAATGCAAGTTATAATCAGTCTATACTGAAAAAATTATAATAGTAACAGAATTTGAAAATTAGTAGATATCTATGTTCAAGAGGTCAATAAACGTTCTCATATGTATGGAATATATATATATATATACATATATATATATACGCATGAATGCACAATACTTCCTGGTGTAAGTCATTATCTCTAAGGTGTTGAAGGTTCGAGCCTTCTTTCTAATAATTCATCTAAACAATTTGCCCTTAGTTACCAGACGTAAAAATTTAAATTTTTTTAAAATGTTTGTTTTTTCCTTTTTCTTTTAATTTTACAGAAGAATGTCTATTGTATTTTTTAAGAGATTAGGTATATTTACCTATAAAATTGTCTTCCTTATTGTTACAAAAAAGAAGAATAAAATTTTGTAAACTATATTAAAAATCGAAAAAATTTGATTTTAACAAAATTTTTATAAGCTATAGTATTTTTAATTGAAATTTTCTTTCTTTTTGAAAAATAGATATATACGAAAATCGTTTCTAAAAAACTAATTGTTTTAAAAGTACGATAGTGAAGTTCACAACGTTTAATATGATCAACGATTAGAAAAGAGAAGAAATCTTTAGGGCTTTAAGAAAAAAATTATGTTTTTGAAGAAATTTCTTCATAAATAAAACTGAAAATCAGTAACTATTCAAAATTCTAATCTAAAAGAAAGAAAATATTTTCTTAACAAATATAGGTAGTACCAATTTTGAAATTCTATCTTCTTATAATTTATTAACTTAAAAATAATTTTCATATTAATAAATTACTTCTAAACGATTTCTTAATTTCAAAAAAAAAAAAACGATTTATGTGTTTTCATAGTAAAGAAAATTTTGTTTTATGATTAATTCAACAAATTATTTGATAGGTTTTCAAAACTATTCCATTATAATAAAATATTAACATATATTATACATGGAGAGTAAATCAACTTATTAAAAAAGAATAAGTTATAAAATAAAATTTATTTACCTTTCTTTTTTCTCACTATCTGATGAATTATTAAGATCAACATTTCCATTAATACTTTGCGATTGTTCCTCTGTATTTTTAACAGGTATTGGTGATTGTCCCATAGTATCGATTTTAACATCCAAATCCTCTTCGTCTAGAAGAGATTCTTTTTGTTGTGAATTTCGATCCCCTGCAAAACAAATAGATCGATATATTACAATTATATGTGAATGTGTATTAGTGAATGTGGGAGAGAAAGATATAAGGATGGATAATATCATCATTATCATCATCATCATCATCATCATTATTCTGACATAACTTCAGTCATTGTTCTATTGTCGAGTGGATGTTAAAGTGTTGAAGGTTCAGACAATAAATATTAACTGTTCTTTAATCTTCGTGATGTTTTGATTGATTGGAGAGATTCAAATGGAAAATATCAAGTTCAATTTTGAAAATTTTAATTATTATTTATTTCTTGAAAATTTAAAAACATTAAAGTGAATTAAATTGTTTTTTTTAGTATTTTTATTAGAATAATAAAATAAATTTGTAAATAAAATATATTTTTAATTTTAACATAAAAATTTTAAAACCCCTTGCATTGTATTATTATACATGATAAATTATTTCATATTATTGTTAGAATAAGCAGGCCTCGGATCAAATTAAAGGCACAAAAAAAGTCGTTTTAGTCGATTTTTTTATTTTAATAAAAAAGTTTTAGAGATTTAAAAAAAAATTTTTTTTTTAAATAATAATAATTTTGAAAGAGTTAAAGTTGAAAATTTTAAAAATAATTGACTTTCCAAAGATTTTGTTAATTTTCAGACAATAATTAAAATTTTACAGAATTAAAAATAATTTATCAAATATTTTTAGATAACATTTTTTAAAAAGTTATTGAATTTTCAATGATTTACAATTTGAGATTTTTCAAATTAATTGAATTTCAAGTGATTTTTAATTAAAATTTTTTGATGATTTCACTAAAAAAATTTATTAGAAATTGCGGACAAAAATACAATAATTTGAAAACCATTTTTAATTGAAAAATAGTTTCAAATAGTTAAATATTCAAAGAATATTATAAAAATAGTTCAAAATAATTCAATTTCAGGAGAGTTATAATTGAAATTATTAAATTTGAAATTAAAAATTTTGAAAATAATTGAATTTTACTTGATTTTGGGATTGAAAATTTTGAAAATAATTGAATTTCAATTTCAATTTTGGAAAACAAAATTTTTGGAAAATTGAATTTCAAATAATTGAAGAATTTATTAAAAATTACAGACAAAAAGTGTACTTAAAAAAATTAAATTTCAAAAGTTTTTAATTAAAAAATGCTGCTTTCACATAGTTGAATTTTCAAAGAATATAATAAAAATAATTCAAAATAATTGAAATTTTTGCAAATAATTAAATTTCAAGTGATTTTGAATTAAAATTTTTTAATAATTTTATATTTGCTAATTTTTTTTAAATTATAAACAATTATTAAATTTCATAGAAATTTTAATTGAAAAATAGTTCATAATAATTGAATTTCTGATGAATTTCATTAAAATTATTAAAAATAATTAATTTAGTGAAGAAATTTTAGTTTAAAATTTGTTAAATAATTGAAATAAAAAAGATCTGAAGAAGATTTGCGTTTTATACTAAAAAAACGTATTTTCTTTAAAAATGTTGTAAAAAAAATTTTAAAAAAAGTCGCATTTTATTAAAATAAGTCGAAAAAAGTTGAAAATAGTCGAAAAAGTCGTATAATCCGAGGCCTGAATAAGAGCAATTAAAAAAAAAATAATAATAATTTATCAAAAAAAATTAATAAAAATACAATAAAATCGAATCAGTAAATTTTTTTTCTCAGGATATAAATATGTGATCACGACAATGCAAGGAATGAGAGAAAAAAGAAACGTGTAAATTTATGTTTTAATAAGTAAACTGCATAAAGTTTCAATCCACACACGATATAATCATGAAAATATGTGAAAAAAATTAGTGTCCGAGGCATTTTAGTTTCTTCAGAATCAGTAAGCGTTCGTTCGAGGGACTTTAATTTAAAGGATAATGAGGCATTTGGGAGGATTGTATCACTAAAGGATCATCATTTGGGATGCAGGTGCTGATTGCTGTGTAATTTTACATTTTATTTCGAGGATTCCTCGTAATGACTCTTTAAATATATATATATATAGTTGATTCCCTTCGTATCTTTCTTTATAATCCTCATTTCACTTCTTTTCAGAATATTAATTATTTATTTCGTGAGGATTGAATCATTATTTTTTATAATTATATGCATGATTTAAAAATTATGAGGTATGTACTTGGTTAATTTTACCGGATTAAAAATGCTGAATTAAAATCAATTTAATTATACATTTATAATATTGACTTTAAATTTTTATAATTTTATTGTTATATTTGTACTATATTATATTTTATTCTTGAATTTAAAAATACAAAATATTATATATGCAAAAACGACAGAATATTAAAATCCTGTTGCGGTTTTCCACTCTCTAAATCTAAATTAGTAAAAATGTTTACTAATTTGAATTAGTGACTCACTTTTTGCTTCTGAATTAGTAAAATTGTACTAATTATTAGTAACTTTTACTAACAATTAGTAAAATTTAATTAATTCCAAAGCAAAAAATGAGTCACTAATTTAAATTAGTAAACATTTTTACTAATTCAGATTTAGAGAGCACTACGAAATGATATTTTACGTCACTGCACATATTTTATTCCATTAGCAATGTGTATATTATATATATTTACTGTACATAAAAATATATATATAGGTATATTATGCATCAAGAATAAAAACTGTTAGTTTTCTTTAGATATAATTTTCACTTCTCATAATTCCGTTGAAGAAAGTTTACCAGACATCTCGTTAAATACGTGTATTATTTCGTTTGAGTAATTCCGCAATGTATGTCTCTTTCGTAATTCTCCCGCGAGTGATCAGGAAATTCTTCAAACACAGCATTTTTTATTCGAGACTAAATTTTGTTCATTTGATCGCACTTAGCCTATCAATCAATTTAGATTTATTGTCAAGGTATATGTATATGCTACAATAATTATAGGTAAAAAGAAAGTGCTCACACTGCAAATTTGGAAAACTTCTTGGAACTTGTTACCGCATATCTATTTATTTTATTTTTTCAAAACATATTATATATTAATAAAGTGACAATAATTATTATTTTTTTCCTTTCCCATATTAACGAATAATTGAAATAAAAAAAATATTAGAGATTAATTTTAGAAAATATTTTTATTTTTTATCGTTTAGAAATAAAAAGTGATTTTCCATTTACCTATAAAAAATTTTATTAAATTTAATTTGAAACAAGAAATTTTTATATTATTTGATAGAATATATTTTTGAAAATATATACAATTAAAATAAATGTTAAAAATGTTATTCAAAAATTAATTTAATTAAATAATTAAAGAGGTTGATTTATTTTAATTATTATTTAAAATCATTTAAAAATCTTCTTTGATCAATCATAATAATTAAGTAATCCCAATAATTATATAAATACTATAAAAACAATATTTCAATTAAAAACTATTATTATTATTATTATTATTATTATTATTATTATTATTATTAATAATAATAATAATAATAATAATAATAATATGCAAATTATTTACATATTTTTTAAAATCTATATTTATATTGATGTTAATAAATAACATTTTATTATATTGAAAGATATATTCTAGGAACTGTATTTAAACAAATTATAATACATAATGCGGAAATTAAAAAGAATATTACAATTTGTAATTTGGTATAATATGAGATAACCAAATAATGACAAATGGTGTGTGCAATTACGCAATTCAGCAAAAAAGAAGAAATGCATATGTGAACATTTATAAAGTGAGTGTCCTGCAAAATACAACATAAATACTACACTTCCAGAAAGAGTAAACGTTAAATGTTTTCATTTTGACTTAATAGTCATATATATTCTATTCATATTCATATAACTATTCTAAAAATTATAAATGTTGACAAAAAACTGTTATTTAAAATAATTTGATTATTTATTTTACTCCATTTTTGTTTATAATATTAATTTTTGATTACACAAAAATTTTTCATTGCAAATTTTATTGGATGATTTTTTCACAAAATTAAAAAAAGAAATTTTTTTAGCTTTTCTGTAAATTTAAAAAAAATTAAAAATAAATTGATTTATAAAATATTTGTAATTTTATTATTTCAAACGTATCCCTTTATAATAACTGCTTTCAAATTATATATAAATATGTATAGTACTTTTTGAGATCTATAAATAAAAATGTTTCAGTTCAAAGCTTGCTCTAAACAAAGGAAGTAACGTATTCTAAATTATATGCTCAAGTAGTAAATTATTCCCATAACTCTCATTAACCTTTTCAGGCCCAATGGTTTTAAAGCAGCAACACGTCATTTAAAATTAAGTTAGCTATAGTGTGTGTTTCTATTTTCTATGAAATTGTCAACGGTTTTTTCAAAAATAAATATAACAAAATTATTATAATAAAACATTTAAAATTACAATTATTTTTTAAATTATTAATTATTTACATTCATAAATTAAGAAATAATAATTATTATATTAATAAACTGAAAATATATCACAAGTAAAAAAAAAAGGTACGCATATATTATAAATTAAATAAACAAAAATAAATAATACCTATAAAGAAATAATTTAAAATATCAGAAGCTGCGTAAATAGATTTGTCAAGGTTCCACAAATTTCTCTTGAATTTCTTATACATAGTGCAGGTGTAAAAAGGAACACAGGTGTTGAAAAGATCAGGTTTAAGATCGAGTTTATCTTTTCAAGCTAAAGATGTGCCATAAAAGCTCTCTTCTTTTCACACACATCTTATTCGATACTTGCGAAGAGAAAAGTTATATAGAGACCCATCTTTGTGACAAATGCCTCTGGGATATAAATTGAATGGAATTTACAAAAATACATACACTGAACTCTTCTTAAGCGTTTCATTCAAGTGAAAAAAAAAATAATTTTTTCTTCTATTTTGAAAACAAAAAATGTAATTTCGATCAAATGAATACGTGTGATGACTGTGAAGTTCTAGAGAGATAGGCAGGCACAGTAATCGTGTAAGAGAATGAATGAATATACACGAGAATGTATAAAAGTCTATGTGAATCTTTTTTCCCCCTTGTTCCGCTTCTTGTAATGAACGCACTAATATCGCTTTCATGTCTCGCACCTAAGGTCCTATGGGAAAGAAACATTAAAACCACGGGTACATCTACACGCCAAGTGTAAGGGCAACATGTACACACAATATATATATATATATATATACTCGATGGTACATTGAGTATTGGGATAATTAAAAACTGCATTAATAGGAAGACTGTGGAAGAGACGAAAGAGAGATTCCCACGAGATACAATGAACACCCTAGAAGACAATGGCCCTTCTTGGGATGCGTTATACAAACTTTTACTAAAACTAATCGTTGCTTTCTGTTCTACCTCATTTCAAACCAGAAATAATTTCGACCACAAGAAAAATTAGTATTTCGTTCCAAATGATTCAACTCAAAATTCCTTTTGTTTTTCTTAAGACTATATTTATAAATATAGTAAATATTTAAAAACTATTCAATAAATGTATAATTATGATTTATTAAGGCGAATAAAATTATAAATATATATATAATTGAAAAGTTAATTTTGATGTACGCTAAATAAAACTTATTTCAATTTCAATTCAGATAATTTTTTTTTATTTTATTTATTTATTTTTTAAAATCAATTATTATTCTTTTTTAATTAATATTATGAAACTATCTGATTATTTAAAAAACTTTCAAAAGCCTTTTAAAAGGACGTTTATCCACGGCAAATGCAGACCTCCAGAAAAAAAGTAATTAATTAACATTTAAATAATTAAAATAATATTATTAATTGTACTTTCTGAAAGAAGAAATATTAATTTTCAAGAAAAAAATTAAAAATTTTAAAAATTTATTTGTTTATACAATTTGCATAGGATAAAAATTTTATTATTTTAATTATTAATTATTATTATTATTATTATTAATTATTTTAATTTTATTATTATTTTAATTTAAACTCCATGAAGTTGACGTCGACGCTCAGCGTCGAAAATTGTTTTTACAGGACCAAAAATGTTAAATTAGATTTTTAATAATATTTTTCATCCAAATAATACCTTGAGAAATATTTTTTAACGTATTATGTGGACCCTAAACGTTTTTATAAATGATTTGATATTTTTGGTCCTATGAAAAATAATTTTCGACGCTGAGCGTCGACGCCAACTTCAGGGAGGTTTAATTTAAACAAATAGCCACACGGAGAAAAATGGAAAAACGAATAAAGTAACTTTTACTACTTTAAAAGTAAAATTGGACCTGTCCGAAGTTTCTGCGCATCTCTGGCAACTTTTACTCGAAAAATAGTAAAATTGACTATTTCTGTAGTAAATTTTACTGTTTCCGTAGTAATTTTTACTATTTCTGAAGTAAATTTTACTATTTTTGGAGTAAAAGTTGCCAGAGATGCGCAGAAACTTCGGACAGGTCCAATTTTTCTTTTAAAGTAGTAAAAGTTACTTTTTTATTTTTTCCGTGCATATTTTCCAAACGGCTTGCTTGTTTGAAAATCCCCACGGTGAAGTTGTAGAGAATCATTTTCTGATGAAATTAAGCCATATATATATTACATTGAAACTCAATCATTTTTATAAAATTCTGTAGAAGTGATGTGACTGAAAATTTTTATCCTATGCAAATTGTATAAACAAATAAATTTTTAAAATTTTTTTTCTTGAAAATTAATATTTCTTCTTTTAGAAAGTATAATTAATAATATTATTTTAATTATTTAAATGTTAATTAATTTTTTTTCTCTGGAGGTCTGCATTTCCGTGGATAAACGTCCTTAAAATTACAACATAAAATTAATTACATATAATACTATATTTATGTATCAAACTTGACAAAATATTTTTTTTATATTTTTCATAATAAACCTTAAAATAAAAAAAAACAAAATCTCTATGATCTTTCCATATACGAAGGAATTAAAATAAATATTTTTTTCTCATTCTGAACTATAAAATATTTTTAAAACTTAATTATTGCAATGATTCCACTTTAATTAGAACTTAAAAAGCATATATGATTAGTTTAAAAAGGAAATAAAACAAAATAATTATTTTGAATGAAATGATTTATGTGCAAAAACTAAAACATTGGCAAAATGCAATGTAACTAAAATAGTCTATAGTATATGACAACCTTAAGAAAAATAGTTCGAACACGGAAAAGAGAAACGTGTTTTCCAGCTTCTTTGGTTATACGAGTTTGCGTTAAATAAACTTCTGTATCACCTTCGTGACAGAAACGATTTCTGTTTCCCAAGGTTTGCAAGTATAAGAAAAGATAATATTTTCTCAATTTGCTCAAGCAGTGTGTGAGCAATCGACGACGACAACTTTTATAGTTCAACTTATGTTGAAAAAAAAAGTAAACCTGATCTTTTAAAGACGTATATGTGATCTTATTTTACACCTGTTGGAAAATTCTAGGACATCATATAAGCAATTGACCCATTTTAAATGATTCTTAATGTTCAGTTTTTATCTATTTTGTCATTTTAATTTCCTTTATTATGTACAGTTAATTTTCTGTACAAAGCCTTCTTCTTTTACATTTACGATATATAATTTGTACTAATATATACTATAAGTACTTGCGGTACATAAAATATCCCGGAAAAAATGAAACTCGAGAGATTTTTTTTTTAAACTAAACTCATGTAATTTTTAATAGATTAATTATTATTATTGGGAAACATGATTAAGAGAAAATATAAATCAACTTTTACCCATAATTGACCCAATTTTAAATTAACTGTTTGAATTGCAAAATTAAACGTGAAAATTGTTAATAGAAATATGTACAGTGAATGATTTTCAACTCAAGCTATAATTTAGAATACTTTCATCATTTCAGAGTGAAATTTTTAATTTAATTTTTCTAATAACTAATGATTCAATATTTCAAACATTATAGTGATTGATAAATCTTGAGGGATTAACATTAAATTAATGAAGATAAGAAAATAAATTAAATTACAAAAGAGAAACATTGAGGACACAATATATTGCCATTATTCATTATAATTAAGATAACTGCGAATTCTTTAACTATCTCAAAAGTATACTAATTGAAATGCATTATCATTAGGAACTTTAGTTTAAAATATAGAAAGTAAACTGAAATGTGAAATAATATTACTATATTTCCTTTTTAATTTAAATTTCCTTATCATAGTTATTAATATTAAATTTATTTTCTCACTGCAATTTTTCTTTCTACGTTAAAAATAAAATCACGTAACTGTCATCGTTCTGAGTTACAAGAAATCCCTCCCTGTTATGAGATCATTTTGAAAAAAGCTATTTTTCTCGAGATATGCCAGAGCGCGGATCCTTTGTAGTTTAAAAGGTCAAAGAAAAGATGCTTCCGTGCCGCCAAAAGGAAGCAGAAAATAAAAAAAAAATCTTTTCACCACAGGTCAATTCAGCGCGAATGTAATGTGAAACACTTGGATTTTATGTATATTCAAACATTCAAGACAGTGTCGTGTGTTTTCCAACACCGAGAAATAGATCTCCAAGCTGTCTGCTCGCTCAAGCATGGAATCGGTTTGGTTTAATCGAAAGTTTACAATGCATTTGCAATAATGGAAACGTATAACAATATTGTCCGAGATCCTTCATTCCAAACAATAATACCATGACTAAAGAGTTGTGTCAAAAGTAAACCATTCCCTATCACAAAAAAAAATATTTTTTCTTTTGTCTTACATTCATAAAAACTATATAAACAAAAAAAAAAAAAAAAGACTTACCGTTAACTCCGTGATGGTCCACGAGAAGATCAGTCAAAACATGGGGACACTCAGCCTCCAAAGCGAAGCAAAACTCCCGGAAAGCATTAAAACCTTTAGTGCCGATCACATCGATGAAAAGGTCGATGTCGGTTTCGCTTGACCGATCTGCACTGCCAGCGACCGCGTCTCTGTCAACTTCCGAAATCACTCCACGTTTCACCAACACATTCAATAAATTTGTAGCATTTAATTCGCGAAGGAGGGACGCTTTGTGGCGACACATGAGAGTTCTAACCTCCGAGGATCCCGCCATGCTTACATTTAACACACTCGCGCGTTTACGAAGCAACAGGTGTCACTGGATCGAAAAACTTACCACCGGCCTGACTTTTATTTCCCTTCACTCTTCCAACAAGCTATGGCTCATCTCGATCAACTCCCACCGATCCTTTCCTTCTGCTATATACCTACTACCTTCTACATTTATTCCCATTCCTTTCCTACCCACGCTTTAAGCGCATTGTCCCTCTCTATTTCACTGTCCTCGACTATTTCTTTCTCTTTTCATTGATCCTATCCCCACTCCAACCGCCCTTTTTTTTTTTAATCCAAACCACTGACCAACGTTGCCGTTTACCCTTTTGAGGTTATGTACACTTTTTTTTTTTTTAAAAACATTCAACCTTTCAACCGCAAATTTTTAATCATTATTAATGTTTCTATATTTTCTTCCTATTCCGTTATAAGTTATAAGTAACACTATACATTTACGATACAAAATTTTCTACACCGACATGTCAATATTCCGTAATTCTATCTGTTACACCTTTCAACAATTATTGCATTGATTAAATAACAAATTTTTTTCAACAATATCTCAATAAATATTGTTTCATATTTAATATTGTTAGGAATATAAACATAAACAAAGCCGACAAAAGTTACAAAATATTTAAAAGTTAGTCGGATAATTCCGTTATAAATCGTCTACTTTCGATTCAGCAAGTCGCGCATGCGCATTGTTCCACAAAAAGGCGGAATATAATCTTTTAAGATTATGATAAATTTTCATTAATTTAAGTATAATTCTTAAGTTTCAATAATCTTTTGACTAGTTAAAGAAATTAAATATACTTTATTTGCATTCTTGTGCAATAAATTCTTCTAAAAAAGTAAAATTTGAGAAACTATTGTAACCTCTATGACACTAATTTTATTGCTAATAATGCACAAATTATAAAGTTTTATTACTAAATCTTTTTATCGTGCTCTATTCTGATGCTATATTACACGGATAAAACTATAAATTTTCAGAAACAATCAATTAATTTCATTAAATCTATTCAGAAACGGCAATAAACAAACGGATTTAAAGTATACTACTGTCACTGTAAATTCGAAAATGTTTCGATTGTATTCGTAAAGTTTCGTTTATTTCCGATTGACGAAGTCACGTGATCTTGAAAAAATCCCTTGTGCGCATGCGCAATCAAGTGAAAACAGCTGGGAAACATAACCTTTAAAACGTCATATTATTCGCGAATTGTTTAGATTGTTTAAAAAGATATTTTTTAAATCCTAAAACTCGGATAATTAATAGTTTTTATTTAATTTAAGTGAGTGCTCACATTGCACAGATAAAATGGCTCCTATACAACAGGATTTACGTGATTCCAGTGGTGATTCTGGTATGTAATTTTGCAAGAATTTTTTTTTATTTTTCTCATTACAACAAGAATTTTGAAGTATATAATTAATTTAAAAGAATATTTTAACTAATTATAAATTGAGCAAAATTTTCATCTTAACGGAATTATATTGATAATTGATATTTATTGCGTGAAAGTTTTTTGAAACCGCCGGGAAAAAATTGCAATGTGTCAGAAAGTAAACGAAACATTTGCATTTGTAATTTAACGTTTTTGACAATTTTAAGCACTTTATTTTATTCATGTATTTTTTTATTTTATATTATCAATTGGTTTTAATACATAATTAGAAAAAGTAACAGCAGATTAAAGTTTAAGGTTATGTTGATAATTTTTTGCCTTTTTTTAATAAATTATATTTATTTTTCTATAAATTATTAAAAAAAAATATATAATTGATTATTAAAATTAAATAAATATAATTAATGTTATTTAATATGATAATAAAATTGAAATATACATGACGAAGCTGAAGTACGCAACGTTTATGATAAACGATTTTTAAAGTAATAATTTTTAAAATGAAAAATTTTATAATTTTTTGCCTAAAAAATATTTTTTTATAATTTCTTGATTAATGAAAAATACAAGAAATATTTTTTAGACAAAGAATTATAGAATTTTTCATTTTAAAAATTATTTCTTTAAAAATCGTTTGTCATAAACGTTGCGTATTTCAGCTTTGTTATACATTTGTAAATGAAAACAAAATTGATTTACAGATGCAATGGAATTGATAATTTTAATTGTACTTTCATAGTTTTTTTAATTTGGGGAATTTTTCTAAAAAATATTGCATGCAAAAGAAATTATAAATTTTAAATGTAAAATGCTTTTTAAGGATCTGACTCAGAAAGTGGATCAGGCTCAGCATCGTCGAGTCGAAGTGGTACACCAACATCACACGCAGCACCCACACCAGGTGGAGCACGAAGTGAACAATCCGATGATGACAAACCACGTTCACCAGCTTCAAATGCCAGTGGATCGCCAGCTAGATCAAATAAATCAGGTTCTCGCAAATCAAGAAGTCCCTCTGCTGAATCAGGACGTTCTGGAAGTCCCATTTCTCGAAAATCTGCTAGATCTCGCTCTGGATCCCCTGCTAGATCCGAGAGTCCAAGATCTGTTAGAAGTCGAAGATCCAGAAAATCTGCTTCACGTTCACCGGGTCAAAAATCAGGTTCACCGCAAAGTAATAAATCAGCTTCGCCGAAAAGCCGAAGATCCGGAAGTCCAGCTAGCAGAAGATCTCTCACGAGTAGAAGATCCGGTAGTCCAGCTAGTAGAAGATCAGTCATGAGCAGAAGATCAGGAAGTCAAACTTCCCAGGCGAGTAGACGATCTGGAAGTCGAACTTCCAGGGGAAGTAAGAGGTCCGCTTCGCCATCGAGCAGAAGATCTGGAAGTCTAACTTCAAGAGGAAGAAAAAGATCAGGTTCGCCTTCTAGTAGAAGATCTGGAAGTCGTACCTCTAGAGGAAGATCAGAAAGTGCAGCGTCACGTGCCAGTCGACGTTCGAGATCTGGCAGCCGATCGGGAAGTCAAACTTCACAAACGAGTAGAAGATCGGGAAGTCAAACTTCCCGAGTGAGTAAACGATCTGGAAGTCGTGTTTCTCCGGTGAGCAGAAGATCCGGAAGTCGAGCTAGTAGACTGAGCAGAAGATCAGGAAGTCGTGCTTCTCGAGTCAGTAGAAGATCTGGAAGTCGAACTTCTCCGGGAAGCAAGAGATCTGTTTCTCCATCGAGCAGAAGATCCGAAAGTCGAACTTCTCGCGGAAGTAAGAGATCAGTTTCGCCTTCCAGCAGAAGATCAGGAAGTCCAGCGAGTCGACGATCAAGATCTGGTAGTCAAGTATCCAGAAGATCTGGCAGTCAAACCTCTCAAGCGAGTAGAAGATCTGGGAGTCAAACTTCCAGAACTAGTAGACGTTCCAGTCGTTCTGCTACTCCAAAGAATCAAAGCGATAATGAATCTGAGAAGTCTTTAAAAATTGCAGGTAAACTTTTGTTTAGTTAATTAAAAAAAGTATAAAAATTTTAATTTTTATAAAAATTAAAAATAATTTGATTTGTTCTATAATCATTAAAATAAATTATTTTCTTTATTTAGATCAATCAATTCGTTTCAAGGCAAAAATGACAATTTTCAAACATGAATTAAAATTTCAACCAGGAGAAAAGTTATTTAAAAAAAAAAACGATTTTATCTATAGGAAGCAAAAAAAAAAAGAAAATAATGAAATTTTTTTCTCTTTAGGTGATCAAGAAAATAAATCTGACGACGATAGCGATATCGAGGGTCCGAGAAACAAACGTAAAGAACGTTCAGGTTCTACATCAGAAACTGAGGTCACGAAAAAGAAACGAGCTTTGATAGATTCTGATTCAGAGCCGGAAATCACGGAAAAAGAACCGGAACCAACGGCAGACGCTCTTTTTGGAGATGCTAGCGATATTAGTACTGACGACGAGAAAGACAAAGTCGAGGAAGAAAAGCGAAAAAGTAAAAGCAAAAGTCGCAGTCGTAGCCGTAGTAAGAGCCGCAGTAAAAGTCGAAGCCGTAGCCGAAGTCGTAGTCGTAGTCGCAGTAGAAGCAGAAGTAGAAGCAAAGCTCCTTCAGATGCCGGTGAAGGAACCAGTTCTCAAAAACCTTTAGTTTTTGACGTAAGTGTTTATTAACTGACAATTAGATTTTTAAAAAAAATTCCATTATTATTTCTTTATTATAAAATTTCGAATATCAAAATAAAGTTTCCGCACTCTTCAATTCCTTGACAATAACAGATTTTCCCTGACCGTAGCAACCCTTTTAATTAATTAATGATTAATCTTTCTAATTAAGGATGAAGATAAGGAGAAAGAGGATGAGGTCGAACCACCTCCAGAAACAAGAATCGATGTCGAGATACCAAAAATAAGTACCGATCTCGGTAGAGAGATTCATTTTGTAAAACTGCCAAATTTCTTGTCCGTCGAGACAAGGCCATTTGATCATGAAACTTATGAAGATGAAATCGACGAAGAGGAAACTTTAGACGAGGAGGGTAGAGCGAGATTAAAATTGAAAGTCGAAAATACAATAAGATGGAAGGATTATATGAATGATGAGGGAAAAATGGTGAAAGAAAGTAATGCACGTTTTGTTCGATGGTCCGATGGCAGTATGTCACTTCATCTTGGCTCGGAAATTTTTAACGTTTACAAACAACCACTGCAGGGTGATCACAATCATCTTTACATTCGACAGGGTACTGGTCTTCAAGGACAAGCCGTTTTTCGTACAAAATTAACATTCAGACCTCATTCAACTGAGTCGTTCACTCACAGAAAAATGACAATGTCACTTGCTGACAGATCACAAAAGACATCTGGTATTAAAGTACTTTCTCAAGTGGGAATGAATCCAGATCAAAATAAACACGAAATGATAAAGGTAAAGGTTTTTTTTTTTTTTAATTTAATGAACCAATTTTTCTATTGAATAATCTGTTGATACCTCAGTTTTCGTTATTTTTATTTGTTATTTTCCCACGAAATTTTAATAGGAAGAACTTTTTTTTTTTTAGAAAGAGGAAGAGAAGCTAAGAATGGCAATGAGAGTTCAGACGAAGAGTAAGAAAACAACAAGTGGTTCCAGAAGTGCAAATCGTGCTTCTGCAGGATATGCGGCTGACTCGTATCATGACGAGGGATCTGATGATGAAGGAGCCATTTCCCTCGCTGCTATTAAAAATCAGTATAAAAAAGGTGGTGGAGCTTCTCAGAAGAGTAAGTTTTTTTTCCTTAAATTTAAGAACCCAAAATGGAAATTTGAACATTTATTTTTTTTTTAAATGAAAAATTAAATTAGAGTTAATTTGTAAATTATTTTCTTTTTCAATATTTTTAAAGTAAGTTTGTTTAAATTAAATCGAAAAAACAGAGAATTCAACTGAAATTGAATTGTAGTAAAATGTAATTTAATAAAAAAATTAACATTTAATTTGAATTTCATGAAATAAGTTGATAACTCAAAATTAAAATATTTCAGTTTCGGCGAATATTTATTCCTCGGATGAAGATGGCTCAGACGTGGAGGCAATGAGACCCAAGAAGAATGTGAAAAGCAAGGCAATTCAAGATTCGGATGATTCTGCTTCTGGATCTGAAAGTGGATCAGGAAGTAACGACGACGAAGAAGAAGGTGAGGCTGCTGCTGAAAATGATGCCAGCGATTAAAGATTATCAGTTTTTTTACAGTAAGATTTAACCTCAATTATATGTAAATAGTGAAATTATTCCACACGTTAAACTAAGTATTTTTTTTTTTCTTAATAAGTAACGTTTCTGACGAATAAAATTTACAAATAAAGTAGTTTAAAAATTTGACAATATTCATAGAGTGATTTATTTCCAATAGGAGTTACAATTATTACTCTCTTTACTTAATTATGCGAATAATTATTAAAATCACAAAAGAGAAATATATAATAATCGAGAGTATGAATTATTAATTGATAAAAAAAAATCGGCATTCTGTACAATTCATGCGACTCATCAATGCGAAATTTCGACAGAGTCTAAACCAAAACATCATTTTTATTTGCACTATTTCATCTATTGCACACAGTGTTCTTTTTTTCTCGGTGCAATTTCTAAAAAACAAAATACAAAAAAGCTCTGCGTTGTGCTTTATAAAATGAATTTCATTTATATGTGACATAATTATTATTATTATTAGCTTATTGGAGAGTAAACACTAAAGTTTACATAAATTATATACAAAAGTTGCAACAAAATGTTGTTTTATTAACAAAGTCGTAAATAGCGTAGTCTTATTTTTAACTCCCCCACGTGAAAAAAAATACAGGAAAGACCCAGATTCAATTTCAATGTGCGTTTACGTGATTGTGAAAAAAAACCTCTTCTTTCAGCATTTTCGTTTGCTGAAATAGATTTATATATTATATACAAAAAGAATTCTCTCTTAGGAGCCTCGCAAAACTTACAAATAAACTAAATTCGAAACTATACAATTGACAGGCTTAATAAATAATTCATTTCACAGGCAGCACACGATTAATCGCAATTTGTGCTAGCACACCTGATAAATAAATAAATATACAGCGAAAGAGAACCACTCGCAGTACCAAGAATGAATTTCTAGCGTTTACATAATTTGACGATAATAAACAATTTGTTCAAATTTTTTTTTTTTTTTGTTACAAAAGTCAATTCTCTTATAATATACTCTCATTTGACAAAGTGTTGTCTATCTTACATTCTCAAATTTCATGATATACGAAGTTTAAAAAATATTCTATTAAAGTATCAGATGTAAATTTTAAGCTTAAACAGAATTCAAAAAAGATAATTTTAATTAATTTTAATGAAAATTTTTAATATAATTTAAAATAGTTTCCCAATGTGATAATCTCTGACAAAAAATTACATTTTAGAATAAGTTTAGAATTCTTTAGATATTATATTACAAAGAATAATTTAAACTTATACAAACTTTTACACAATTTTAATAAATGAGAGTTTATTTTTCTTGGAAAATATTTTCTTAAGAAAATATCTTTTTACAAATTTACTTCGATTTTTATATAATTTGATTTATTCAAAATAAGCGAATGAATTAAACGAAATTAAAAGAATACTATATAAAATGTTGTTTTAATAGTATTTTTATAATATAATTATAAATTTTCAATAAACCAAAAAATGTACCGTTTCTTTAAATTTTTGTCTTATTAAATTTATTTTAAAAAAAAGTTTTAGTTTTTTAAGAGGTAATTTTCTTTTATTAAGAAAAATGACTTCTTTTTCTCTCACAAATTAATATAGTTGAATAATTTAATTTTTTAAAATTATTTCTTTTTTAAATAACAATTTTTTAACTGTTAAATAAAAAATATTTCAATTAAACTTAATGATAAAATTGAAATGTGAAAAAATAATATTTCAAATATATTAATTAATTTTTTAAAGAGAAAAAATTGTTTTTTAAATTTATGATATTCATGAAAAACAATATTAATGCAATTAAAATTTTAATAAAACAAAAATGTATTGAAAATGATGTAGATAAATTGTAGAAATTTTCTAAATAAATTTTCCAAGTAAAATTATAAGCAAATCTCTGAAAAATTTAAATTTCATAATTAAATTCATTGATTCATTAAATTAAACATAGAAAAATTATTTCTTTAGTCATGCAAAAATGAAAAATATCAAATTTTAGAAATAAATAAGTAATAAATATAAGATCTTTAAAATAGTTTTTAACTTTTTGTCTGAGATTATCGCCGGTATACTATATTTATTAATTATTAACCGCTATTTTTAAAAATGATTCACGTAGAGAAAAGATATTATAAATCGTACAATGGTTTTGAGCTAATCGCCTTCTTAAAATCTAAAGCATGTCAACAATTATTAATGGATTTTCTAAATAGTTCTAATGCTCATGCTCTAAATATTCCACTAAAAATCCAGTCCTCGTAGTAAAATATAATTATCACGAGCGTGTATAGCGCTTTTTTTCAATCATTGAGATTAAAATAATATATATATATTATATAAGAAACTACCACCGCGAAAGCGAGAAACGCAGCTTATCACAATATTGGGTAGAGGATAGCCAAGCGACGAGATTTTAATTAACCTGATCCGATCATTTCAAGGCAGGATTCCTTTGGACGATTGGCAGGCACATTAAATGCAAGAACCGATTAAAGTTAATATTCGAATGAAAACTAGAGTATACTCGGAATTTTTTTTTAAATATTTTTTCTCCTTCATTTATATTTTCATTTGAATGTTTTCTTTAAAATTGCGGCTCTTATTATATATAGTGGTCCCAAGGTAAAAAAAAGGGATCGAGGTTTGAGATCGAAAACACAGTCTCGCACTTGTAATTATTACTATCTCGCAATTAATCTCTCCTTAATTTACGAATACAATGAATATTATATTACAGATGGAATTCTAGCTGTTCAATTATTACGAACACATTTTATCTCTCTCGAAGATCGAGAGCCATTTGTTAAAATTTTATTCAATTATTGTCAAATATTTTTTTTTTTTGAAATTTGTCTTTAACAGAAAATTTCTTTCAAATTTTTCTATTTCTTATTATTGTAATAAGGTAAAGAATTATATTTTTAATTATTGTAAATGCTTTGAATTTCTTGAAAATTATTATTTTTGACAATTAATAAAAATAAATTAATTAATTCAAAAAAATTCTCGATTGTTAAGTAATTTTCTTTAGAAATTTTTTTTAATTTTCTAAAGGCAAATTTGATTATCAGGATTATTTTATATGTATAGAATTTACAAGTGAAAAAAATGGCTCTCGAGTAAAACAAGAATCAAATTACAATTTTTGCGCATATTATTAATTCTTATTTGCTTCTTCATTAAATATATATTATAGTTCTGCGTTCGCTTTTTCTTCTGTCCCGCTTTTTTTGTGTTTAATTTGCAACTATTATTTGCCAACACTTGTTGCTTTTAATGAAGCGTGTAAATCGTTGCGAGTCTTTTTTTTTTAGTCATTATTTACAACGAGGATGCAACAAGGTCTCTCTTATAATATCATACAGAGTTTTCCTCATTTAAAGTCTTTGATAAAAATTGCCGATATACTTGAAATAAAGTTCAGCAAATTTCGTCACAGGTCAGTCTCCAGCACCCTCGGCGCATCTGTATCTCAGCAAGCCTAAAAAAAAATTTTTTATTAGTATAATGTTTTATTTATTAACTAATGACTAATAACAATAATGTATCGTAATACATTTTTTTAATTTATTAAATAAATAAATTTTAAACAACAAAATTTTTCAAAAAATTTTATTCTTTAGGTATCTAATAAAAAAAAAAAAAAAAATGAAAATCAAGTTTAAAATCAATGAAACTAAAGACGGAAGGGAGACTTCACAATAATGCGAAGGCCATTAAAAGAAGAATAAATAGAATTTTTTCAGAATATAAAACTTGAAAAGACCTTGTCACAGTGTTTTTTTTAAATGAGAATTAACTATATACTTGAAAATAGTTTTTTTTTGTGGAATATGTTCCCACATATGCCGAGACGATTAGTTCGTGTTATTATATTCGTAAATCTGAAAGCTACGGTGATCGTTTCACTAAAAACGTTTTATGAAACACCCTCTCATGGACAAGAACACGTGTCTATTCAACACGTGTGGGACAGTAGTAGAGCAATTAGAATTTCCAATCGAATATACGCGCCACCCCGTTGTTCGAATGCGAGTTTCATTTCTATAGGCCCAATAAACCTTTCAGCTACTGACATTCTAATAAATTAGTTTTTTCTTATATATTCTCTCTCGATTAGATTGCGCGAGTAATTATTAAAAATTCTACTTGGAAATAATATCAAACAGATGTTGCTCACAAGCTCTTTTGATCCATGGTATTTAATTTCTTGATATTGAAAAAACAAACTACCAATGGGGCTACTAAATAATATATTTTAACTTTTCATTAAACAATTTTCTTTTTAATTACAAAATTTCAGTTTCAATTATATGATAATTTTACTACATTCAAAATATTTTAATTTAAAAATTGCAAAAAATTATAATTTTAGTTTAAAATTCTAAATCAAGAAATATTTTCTAAAAAATAAATCACGCACCAAATTGTTCATAAAAAAAAACATATGACGGAAAATTGGATTTTCGAGAGTTGAACGACTATGTATTACAAACAACAGAGATTTCGAAATTGGATCAGATTCTAAAATTAGAAAATCCCATAAGACTTTTAGTAATATATATCCATCCATATACTTCCGCGTTGATCCGAGTGAAAAGTCTTGCTCATCGCGATTACTAAATAGCTAATAAATATTATATATAGATAGATATATACATATATAAAAAAAAGGAAAAAAAGAGAGAAGCTTGTCTGAAAGATACTAAAAAGCATATATAAAAGCTACTCAACGAGAAGTACGCTATACACGTGCTTATACACATATTTACATTGAATATGAACGTGTTAAACAGTGAGGCCTTGTGCACTTCCGTACAAGTGCGATGTGTACCAATCTGATGACTTCGACAAGGATCGGTCATTGACTCTCCTGTTAAAAGTCTGTTGTGATCTATTGAATCGATCAAAAAAAAAAAAAAAAAATGAAAAAAAACCAATTTACTTATACAATTAAACCGTTTCCCATTCTCGGAACTTAATTAATTTTTTCAAATAATTTATTATCTTCAATGCAAGCCGCAGCAAACGTATATTAAGTGATTATATATTTGCACAATAATTCAAATATTTTCTTCTCAATGATGAATTTCAAAAAAAATTAAAATAAAACTTCTGCAAAATTGAAGGATAAAGTTTTTGTGTTCCTGAACATACTTCCTCATAGAGATTTCTTTATTCGGATTAACAAAAATATATATTTAAATTGATAAACTGATTAATTTATCAAATTATATCTCATTATTTCTACTTTAATATTGGTATATGTACTTGTTAATAATTTTTAAATTTGTTATTTAATTAGTCAACGAAGAAATTTGCCGTTGTCATTTAGCACTATAGACAAGTTATCTTCCTTTTCTTTTTTTTTGCAACGATACTTTAAAAGCTTTGCACATGCATTTGATCATCGATGCAAAGTCCATGCGAATGAAAGAAAACCTTTTTTTTTTTTTTTTTTTATTTAGACATTCTCTAACTTGATCTAACTTTAGAGTTGTAGAATGACAATCTAAAGATTTACATGTCATCATTTCTATTTTGAAATTCAACGAGGGAATTTTAAAAGAAACGATAGATAAAAAAAACTTTATAACAAAAAAAAAAAAAAGTATAAAAGCCTGAAATTAAAATCAAAGAAAAACGTGTGTGTGAAATGATATTCTGCAATCGAAATTTTAATATTTTTACTCAAAAAATATAATTCTGTTTAATTTTTAAAAATTTAATTAAACTAAATAATTGGATACTAAATTCAAAAAGAGACAAATATAATTGTATTACTAAAAAGAACAATAATTACAAACGAAAAAATTAATTAATCGGAAATTTAAGTGATTGTAATGATAAAAATAATTCGATTTGTTTCCTCTGAGACTGTGTTTTAATTGATGGGACTTGAAAGTAAATAAAATTAATTCGGACAAGCCGAAGAAGAAAATAATTTCCTGGTGGGAAGCTGCGAACTGTGAATCTCAGTGAAATCAAGGAAGCAACCTGGTGCGCGATTAATCAGCAATAAATAACCACGTTTTTAAAAAATCTCTCTCTCTCTCTCTCTCTCTCTCTCTCTCTCTCTCTCTCTCTCTCTCTTTTTCGCTGTTTGTTGTGAACATTTTTCCCTGAATTCTCTATTGTATTTATGAGTAAATTGGAACTGGATTATAATTTATTATTATTTCTTGAACAATTCTAACTTGAATCTCTCTTTTTTTTTCTTTTAGACTTTTATAAAGTCGAACTTGACCTAAGACAAAATACGTTGAACTTGCCCACCTTCTTTAATAGAAACCGATCATTGTCGAGGTACTTTTCACGTAACTAATGCTTACATTTTCATTATAGGTATTCGCGAATCGATTCGCGAGATCCTCTCTTTTTTTCTCTCTCTCTCTTTCTCCTTCCGCGAGGCCCGCTTCTCGCGCGGTACCGTTGCAATCGTGCTTGAGCTGCGGAATTAATCCTAACGATCGAATCGTCGACCACAACCGCAGCATCTCGCAGTGTATCCGCAAAGATCGTGCAGGTTGTGTGCCTTTTGCGAATCGAGAGAGACCCGACTGCAGGTCAGGGCCACAGATGAACTCCTTCGTGCGAGGGCAACTCCATGCCAACATCTTTTCCAGTAGCTTGAAATCTTTTCGATTCCTTTTTTTTTTTTTACTTATTGCCACCATACATATTCTCTTTGATCACAACCAAAATTCTATTATAAACTAAAAAAAAAAGAAAAATTTCTTTTTAAATCTCTCGTCAATAGAGCGTGTGCGTCTGAGCGTCGAACGAATTATGGAATTGGGACGCTCAATTTTTAATGTAAAACTTTGTCGAAATAATTCTTTCTTTGGCAAAACAAGAAAAAATAAATAAAAATTTTTTTTTCAAACAAAATCTAAAATGAAAGTAAATATTATATGTAATATTTTGAAATAAAGTCTTAATAGGATTTAACTTTCACTCGACGGACTTAATGAGTAGAGTGTGTGCGATAATAATTTCTCCATTTTCAAAGTGACAATTTTCACATTTATAATCAGTTACATTTAAAAGCATAAAATATAAAAGTCGTAATACCAATATAATGATTAGTAAAAATTATATAAGAATTATAGAACTCGGGAATTTTCATTTGTAAAATTATAAATTATCCTTATGTGAGTTTATTGTGTGCATTACGAATTAATAAGATTAGAATACAGTTAGAACAATCTTTTTTTTTTTTTTTTGATAAATAAATACTAAAATTCACGTATGTTTAAGAGAAAGTCAATGATAATTTTTTAAAAATAAGTCACTCTAAAAATTTTAGATTACTTTAATTAGAACAGAATTTCATTTGTTTTTAATACAATTTTTTAAAAGAAAAAAATAAATTAATTATTGAAAAATAAAAAGATTATTAATTTTTATATTTAGTCTTTAATTTAAATTTTTAGTCAAATTTAAATTGTTCAGTTCTATATGATAGTATAAAAATAAAATAATAAATCACCCATGAAATGAAAACGATTTAATAAATTGGAATGCGATCCTATTAGAGTATAATTGTCCTTGATTTGAATATCGAATAAAAAAATATATATTATGTAATTCAATCAAATATCAATACTATAAATAATTTCCACGACATACCATATACATAAATAGAAGCTTTGTCGCGTTATTTCCAGTTATAAAACAATTAAAATATTGTATATTATCCACAAAATATTCTAAATTTAATTTCTCGATCAAGAAATTGACTAACATAAAATAATTATTAGTATTATTAAAAAGAAATGAATAAGCAATTAATTACCCCATTAAATATAATATAATAATTATTATAAATCGAACGAGTAATAAGTAAATAATAAACAAAATTATAAATAATAATTAAGTCAATTAAGAATCAAATTAATTAGTATAATTAATAATAAAGAATACATAATAAATAAATAAAATGATAAAAAAATGGGAGGATTAAAAAATTTTTAAAAAAAACTTTAAAAATCATAAACTAACGTTATAATAAGTTATAAATTATTCTTTCAAAACTGACGCACATACGAAATAATCTATGTTATATGGTGATTTTAGAAAATCAAGACTATTATTAAATCGCTTAAAAGATTTTTTTTCTTTTATTCCTCATTATTATCTTCTCTCTCTCATCTAAATTGTTTGTTTAGCGACAATTTCGCACTCATCTAGTGTTCTTGATTGGCCATTTGTCATTGAAATGAGCGATAAAATTTAAAGACGCAAACTCAAAGAATCTCTTTAATTAATTTTTATCTTCTTTCTGCGCACTCTCACACAGAAATTCTCTTTTGAAATATTTTTCCTTTCTATAATATATCAAATTCATTAATTTATATATTTCTCTCGTCAAAATTCTTTCCTAATTCAGATTTTTTTTTCTTATCTATAGTATATTATTATTTCACAAAATATATGTGAAAAAAACACAATTAATGGATCATTTATCTGAAACAAACAATAATTTTTAATCACACAGAGAGAAAGTGTGAGAAAGACGAAAATGAGAAAAATTTAGGATTAAATAATCTGCCAATAAGTCAGAATTGAGGAATTATTAAGAAAAAAAAATAGAATTTTAATTAGCGGCGAATTTATTCATTCTTTGGTGATTTAAAATTTGATCATTGAAAAATAACTGCTACTTCTTATGAAACTGGGTTGAAAAAATGAAAATCATCGAGGTATTTAAATTTTAAATCCAAACCAATCGCGACATTCCAGGTAAAGGCGTAAGTATGCGTCGTTGTCGTCGAATCCGGCTCGAGGGAGATCTGTTCTCAAGGGCAATAACTTGAACGGTCGATGAAAAAAAAAAAAAAAAAAGAAAAATAATCACGGAAAACAAGCGACCTCGACCGCCTCAGTTGCATTCTCATTCTCGTGTGGTACTTTGATAAACTTGTCCTTAATAAAGGCCGAACTTAAATATACAAGTAGATTAATGCAGATCGCTAAACAACAAAATATCTGCGGAACGCATTATGTTTTCAGAACTTGTTACATACAAGTCTGGCGACGTTTTAATTGACCTATGACATGGGCGGTTTTTTTTTTAACTATCATCATGTCTACTTGAATAGTTGAGTCAACTATCAATTTACAAGGAGACTAAAAAAAAACGTTTGATTACGACTTTTACACAGACAGAAATAAAATTAATTTTAAATACACTAATTTTCTCACGTGTGTCAAAAAAAAAATAAATAAATACATTTCGAAAAAAGAAAAAGGAACGGAAGGAGATAGTCATTTTCGTTTGGTTTGACGTGTTATACATTAATTCGGAAAAAAGAAAAAGGTGAATTCGTAATTACGATAAAGTTCTGCGGGATACTTTTTTGGAGAGAAAATTATTATTTAATAATTTAATTAAAGTCTTTAAAATATAAGTATATATTGTAAACCTATACGATAAACCCGCATTCACATTTTTTTTTTTTTGTTAATTAATTTCTCTGTTGAATCATACACGAAAATTGATAAAATGAATAAAGTATCTGCGGCTATATTCTAGCTCTGGTAAAAAAAAAAAAAATGATGTCAAGCTTGTATGAGTCACGTATTTATTTTTGGTGCACTTTTATCCCTGCAGTATTAAAAGATTAAGACATTGCATTCTTCTTCTTTTTTTTTTCTTGTAAAAATCGTATCACACAAAAATGTGTAAAATCATATAAGCAAATTTAATTTAACTTTCGTAGTTTTAAAACAACTTTGCCGATTGAAATAAATAAGAAATTATTGATTCTGTTTATTGATTATTTATGTAAATAAGGTACATAACAGGCAAATTATCCAGATTACATAATAATTTTATAACAATTCCAGTTATATCGAAAAAGAAGAATGTGAATTTTAAAAAGTAAATAATTAAAATAAATAGATAAGTAAATAATAATTAAATATTTAAAAAAAATATTGAATAAATATAAATAATTAATTTCCTTCTTTTAAAAAGCAAAAGTTGTCAAAAAAAATGAAAAAACAATTTTTTTCCCCTTTTTTTGAGAAAATCCTAATTAACCATTTTTTAGCTTCCAAGAAATGAAATTTCAAGTCGATAAATAAGCAGTAAAAAGAATATGAAACACAAAATATCTCTAATTAATGTATATGTACATTTGTTAAAGAAGAAAAAATAAATATATATATTATCATTACGCGTCCATTGACGCGTGAAAGTAAGAGTCAGTGGTCGCGATGTGAATATGATCGATTTTTTATGTTCACCTATATAGGTTTAAGCGCCCAACGTGTAACTCGAGTTGTTGATGCAAATTTAACAAAATGTCAGGCCACAACCCGGTGACCTGACGGAAGCACAAAACACTGTTCAGGCATAATGAACCCTGTCACTTTTGGTTATCATTAAAGAAACTAATTATAGTTTTGTAATTTCGTTAATTAACAGCTTAAGAATCTCGTCAAGGAAAAATTCCATAAAATATTAAAACTTACTATTATCTCAACGTAAAAAAAAATTTTAATTCTCAGAAAATTACTCAATTTACTCATTTTTCTATAATCAGTAATAGTCTTAATCCCCTTTTTCTTTTATTTATTAATTTCTTTAGTTGGTTTTTAATATAGAAGTTTCTTTTTTTATTTCAAGTATTTTTTGCATAATAATTAATTAATTATTACAATTAATATTTAATTAATTATTCAGTTCAAGAAACGACAATTCAAATGGAAATTTTCTTTTTAGACTATAACTTGTTAATCAACTTGATTTTAATAAAAACTAACTCTACAGAAAGAATTTTATTTCATTTTTCCTGTATGTATATTTCAATAAAACCAGAAATATATTATATTAAACTTCTACTTTCAATAAAATAAATTTTAAAGGCCGCTTGCTCCACTTTTCGAGAAACTCGACAAGCAATTTTAATTATCCAATCGGCATTGTCTGATGTTTGTAGCATTCTAATTATTAGAAATGAATTGTGAGGCTCACGAACCGAAGAAAATTTTCTTTTATTTGGAATTATCATTAATTGCAAATACCATGAATTAAAAGTGCTATTATTAAAATTTACCATTTTTTTAAAACTAAAATTGCTAAAAGCAATTAGGTATTTTGGAAATTTTTATTTAGATTTCCATTTAACCAAATGTCTATTTGCTAAATAAAATTCATTTAAGAAATTCTCCTAAAGGAAAATTTGGATAAATAATAATGTAAATTTGGTTACAAAAACAAATTTTGAAAAATGAGAATTTATTTGAAGAAAATGAACTGAAGTAGATAAAAACCTAATATTTTTCGGAATTTAGGTTTCAAAAATTTTTTTTTGTTCATATCTACCTTAACACCGAAGGCCGCTTCGTAACCGCCTTTTCCCTGCATTTGCGTTTGAATGGCATTCAGATGGGCACTTGCCATGTCAAGATCACCACTGCCAATATGTCCAGTATGTTGAAAATTCGTCGGTGCTCCTATCATACTTCGGTCTATCCTTAATCTCTGAGGTGGCCTTTGTCTTTTGTTCCGAGCTCCAGGTCCTTGTTGAGTTAAACAACATGTGAACCATTGCACCCAAACTTCTCCAGTTCCTGCCATTTTACTGTCCTTTAACTCCCTCGTCTTGATACTAAAAATAAAAAATTCTTAAACAATTTTCATTTATATTCTCTAAAAAGAAAATTAATAATTATCTCATTTTTATTTCTAAGAGTCAATAAATTATTCAAATTTAGTTTTAATAGAAATCAAATAAAAATTTGATTCCAATATAAATAAAATCAATAAAGTCACATTAAAATTTTACTAGAGGTGTGCAAATTATCGAAATTCGATTTTCTCCATAAAAATTAACTTGAATTCTGGTTCGAATTTTCAGTCAATGTAAAATTCGAGTTTTTGCATACCTCTAAATTTGTCCTACAATAAAAAAAATATACGTAAAATTTGAAAACTTTTCCTCAACAAAATACAAAAAAACAAATGTGGTTCATTATTTTGCGATTCAACTGCGAGAGCAAACATATATATTGCAATTATTGATGATTCCTCGTGTGAACTTTGCGCCATAAATCCGCACAATGCTACTTACAGTTAACTCGAGAAAATTGTTCTTAATTATATCATCGGAGTTAGTAGCAACAAATAATAAATTCAAAGATGCGCGTATTCAACCTGTTTCAACAAAAGTAGAATACAACCACAACACGGAAATAATAAAATTCTATAATCTACATTGCGCCTATAATAAACCACTGTTTACAAAAAAAAAAAAAAAAAAAATTTAGTCAATTTAATTCCTTTGTTGACAATTATAAAAAAAAGAATTATCAATACAATAAATTATTATTCAATTCAAAAGAACAGTGACGGAATCAAAATAATTGGTTCAAATACAAATTATATTATTTATTTATATTATTTTCGATCCTTTTCTTCAGTGGAGAAAATACATTTTTAATCATTACAGAGGCAATTAAATTAAATCATTTCTGGAAATTCGTAAAAGTATAAATAAAATGAAAAAAAAGGAAGAAACTTTCGAATTAATAATATTAATCAAATATCAAATGTTTGGTAATATAACAGTAACAACTCTTAGCAAATTGTGGTAAAAATATTAAATTTCTATACCGTTGCTTTCCGGTACAAGTACCCTCAATTTTTTCAAAAAAACAAGTCAAGTTTGTCGCCAGGCTTGTCTAAACGTCACCACAGACCACAATTTAATTTTAAATACTTTCACATCTTTATTAAACACCTACTAACCAACAAAGCAACAATTACAATATATGTAATTAAAAAAAAAAAAAAATTTTGTCAAATTTTTTCAACTTTCTTTATAAATTCAAAATTAATAAAATTATATACTAAAATAAAATTTTAAAAAATGCAAAGCATTAAACATTTCTATTAATTGTAATTAATTATATAATATTGTCCAGGCCTCGGATCGACTTTAAGGCACAAAAAAGGTCGTTTTAGTCGATTTATATTGCAAAAAAAGTCGATTTTTTTTTATTTTAACAAAATTTAATTGATTAATTAATATTTTGCTTTTGATGATAAAAAAAAATTAAGGCAATTTTTACAGATTTTTAAATAAAAAATTTTTTACAAATAATAATAATTTTGGAAGAGTTAAAGTTGAAATTTTTAAAAATAATTGAATTTCAAAAAATTTTGTTACTTTTAGGCAATAATTAAATTTTATAGAACTAAAAATAATTTATCAAATAATTTTTAGATAACATTTTTTCATATAGTAATTGAATTTTCAAAAATTTTTGAAATTAATTTAACTTCAAGTGATTTTTAATTAAATTTTTTTTGATGGTTTCTGTTACTAAAAAATTTATTAGAAATTGCAGACAAAAATATAATAATTTGAAAACTTTTTATAAGCGGAAAATGGTTTCAGATAGTTGAATTTTCAAAGAATAGTATTAAAAATTATTAAATTTCAGAAGAGTTATAATTGAAATGATTTAATTTCAAAAAATTTTAGAAGCTTTTAAATTGAAATTTATGAAAATAATTGAATTTCAAAAGATTGTGTTAAATTTCAGACAATAATTATACCTAATAAGAGAAATTTTTTAGTGATTTCTGTTGATGAAGAATTTATCAGAAATCACATTGAAAAATGATTTCAGATAATTGAATTTTCGAAGAATATTATAAAATTTATTAAAAATAATTGAAATTTTTGCAAATAATTAAATTTTAAGTGATTTTGAATTAAAATTTTTTGATAATTTTTTTGAAATTATAAACAATTATTAAATTTCATAAAAATTTTAACTGAATAATAATTTAAGATAATTGAATTTGTAAAGATTTTGTTTAAAAATATTGTAAAAAAAATGTAAATAAAAGTCGAAAAAGTCACATTTTATTAAAATAAGTCGAAAAAAATCGTATTTTTGAAAAAAAAGTCGGTAAAAGTCGAAAAAGTCGTATAATCCGAGGCCCGTATTGTCTTGAAAATATTAATATTTGGTAAAAATGTACTTAAAAAATTGATTAATTTAGATAACTAAATAAAAATTATTTCTTGTAACTATATTTTTACAATATCGTTTAAGAAACGAATTTATTATATTTTCAAATATAATTTTTACGTAATACAACGTGAATTAACGAAGTTAAAGTACGCAACGTTTATGATAAATGATTTTTAAAGAAATAATTTTTTAAAATGAAAAATTCTATAATTTTTTAAAAAATATTTTTTTATAATTTTTTTGATTAATGAAAACTACAAGAAATATTTTTTAGGCAAAAAAGTATAGAATTTTTTTTATCTTAAATTATTTCTTTAAAAATCGTTTATCATAAACGTTGCGTATTTCAGCTTTGTGTGAATTATTAAATTTTCAAATTCTATACCATATGAAGGAGAAATATTAGGCAAAAAAAATAGATCTCCCAAGCTGAAAATTGAATGATTAATTTTAAACAAAACAAATTGAGGATACGAGATTGAAAATAAGGGCCAAGAATGATAAATCTTGTACTAAATTGTGAAGATGAGCTGACAGTTTGTTGTGATTGTCAACATTGTGACGACATGCTTAAACGAAAGGGTTAAAGAGATCGGGTCCAGGTCTCTCTCCCGTCAAGATGAGATAGCTACCGGATGTTTCTACAACACAGTGGTGACTTTTTTTATTTTCTATCTATATATATATACAAGTATACAAGCTTGAAACTCTTTATATCCTATATATATATAAAATCATGTGGGCTCTTTCGTTTCAACTTACTTAAAGTAGATCGAGAGACTCCCTACTCTTTCGCGACGAATACCCGTTATTTAAGGACGCATATTACACGCGCCAACGACACGCGTCTTAAAAAGTTCACTTCAAAACATAAGGATATTGTAAAAAAAGTCTCTCCTCTTCTTTGTTTCAAAAGTCTTTTCTCTTTTCTTTTCCATTATGTATATATCGTTTCCAAGAACATGGAAAGGAAATAATTAACTTTGAGACACATAGTGCGAGACATTATCAATTCCCACGAAAAACTTTTACAAGGAGAAAATAAGAATATGAAAGATAATTTTTCACTTTTCCAAATTATTTTTTTTTTTCAAAAATTAGGTATTATTTCTATATATTAAAATATGAGACACTAAAATATTCCTTCATAATCAATTTCTTAGAGGTGCAAGAAAATGTTTTATAAAAATCATTAATTCGAATTTTTGGGGTCGAATTTCAATGAAGCCGAATTTTCAAAAAATCAAATTTTATTTACTAAAATCTACCGCTAATAGAATTTTCAATTTTAAATAATTTCCATTTACCGAAATATCGTTTTATCAAAATTTTCGTTTATCAAAATATCAACTTACCGCAATTCGGGTTGAAGAGAATTTTTATTTAGATAAATTTTTAAATGGTAAACTGTATATTAAACCAAATCTTTATACCGAAGATTTTTTAAGTAACCAAATTTCCATTTTACAGAACTTTTGTATATATGTAATTTCTGCGCGAAGTGAAAATTCATCAAACTGTAAAATTGGCTACATAAAAATTTTGTTAAATAATATTATTTAATTAAAAATGAAAATGCTGATAATTCGAAGTTGTAAATTTAAAAACAATGGAAATTCGAAATAATGATTTTTATTGGAATATTCATGTGTCACAAAAGAACACATTAAAAAAAAATGGAAATTCTAATCATTTCTTTCCTTAATTGTCTTCTCAATGTTAATTGTCCCAGTTTATATAGTATTGTTGAAAGAATAGTGGTGTCGGTATACGTATATATAATGGAAATGTAAGTGTATAAATGAAAATGTTTATGACGCAAATGGTTCGTAAATTTCCGTCAAGAGAGTCTCTCGTTTCAATATTGCACAAGTAAAGAGACGGAGACGACGCTTTAACGTTGCTTGGTATGTAATCTGTTGATAAACTCAATTCTCTAATATAATAGGAGCAAAGGGGAATGCCTCGACTCTTGAACAAGATCGTTTAAAAATTCTCGCCTCTCTCAACCATTATACCTTTATCTGCCATAGTGCGCCTCCCGTATGTACACTTATATATTGTATATATATATGTGTGTTTTATATATGAAGTTTGACACGTTATCACCAATAATAAATTTCAATTGCTTCCTGACCCCTATATCATTGAACGCAGGAAATCCGAAATTAAAAGAGGGATTCGAAAAATATACAACTCTCGTTATCAACACCCACTCAATACTAAAATAAAAATTATTCCTATTAGTAATCATTATCAAGTGACAAGGAAAATTTCTTCAGTCATATTGTGAATTTACTTGTTATAATATGAGATAAACATCGAATTTTAAAATAATTATGGCAAATTTTATATTTAGCCAAAATTTGATGGAAAAAATCCATATCAGAATTTTTATATAATCAAAAACAAAAAACTTTTTTCTTTTTCGTAGATAAATGAAAAATGAATATTTCTTTGAAAGAGAAAAAAAAGTTTACATATAATAAATCTTCATAGGAATTGAAAAACAAGATGCGAAAAACGTTCTGATATGTGAAATTGATTTTTTTTCCTGGAAAATATAGAAATATTAAAAAAAAAAAAAAAAACGTCGTGTCCTCAATAATTTGTCTAGGCATTG